GCACAAGGACACAGTTTTTGCCTGGTCACTCTGGCAGAAGGAAATAAATACTAAACTGTCCAGAAACCAAATTCATTGCATGCAACTCTGAAGACAGAATAAATAAACTGTTCCAAGAAAGAAGTGGTGAAGTGAAATTTCCTGGATCGCTGGCTCAGTAGGAATCAGCGTATAGCAGAATCGTTACTCGGGGCCAACAGTTCTCTCTAAAATCAGAGGATAAGAATAAAGAGATAAATGACTGCAATAGTGTTTAGGAAAAATGGTCAGAAAGATATTTAAACAGACATTGTTTGAAGCAGTAATTACACCAAAGCTATTATTAGACCTTTGGTCCTCTTCAGAAAAAAAATCACGCTTAGCTCAAAAAGTAATTAATCAAATTCAGTATCACATACTTTTAAAACTCAATGCATTGGCCTCTTGCCATGTTCTTAAAATATTATCTTAGCACAGTGACTAATTTCCTGGTTAGCTGAGCACTAATGAATGCCTGACTATGTTGCCCAAAGCATGGAGCACTGGCATGTATGCACGGTGGGTCTCTGTGTGAGAGGACGAGCAGTCCTTATGACTCACATCTCCTTCTGACTCTGCAGCCATCCCATAAGGATGGCAAACGCGAGCGTTGCACACAGTGTCAGCGCTAAACAATGCTCCCGGGGACAATCTACACCTGTTTTACAGCTGGCTGGGAATGCCACTTGATACTCGTCGGAGGAAATCATTGCAAAAAGGATCAGGTTTCGTCTTACTAACAAAAAATGATTAATTCAGTGGCAAATAATGCCACAAACCGGCTCAATTTATCCCCATTTACTGTCTGAATTGATCAGGATTTTATAAGTGGATTTGTCTCAATTTGTTGTAAACACAAACTGAATCAGATTATGCATTGATCTCACGCCTGCGGTGAAAATCATCATTCTTTTGTTGATGATGATAAATTAATGTCTCAAAGCGAGTAAGCTGAAACAAAATGTATCCTCTTTTATATGGTTTGTAATATTTAAAGGCCTCACTCAGGAAGTAGATCAACTTCTGAAGTATTCCTATGAAGCATTATCTTAGTCTAACCAGTTCCTAAATATTAAAGATGATCCTTTCTAAACTCCAAATGTTATCTTTTAAGCAACACACTTAGTTTTACTGCTTTGTCATACCAGCTGTTATTCAGATCCAGAGTGAATGTCGTATTGCTCGATGGTCCATACAATTCCTTTAGAAAGCTCACTGCCACGCGATTAAGCTCTCTGCTGTTCTCTACCTCACAAGCATTAACATTAGCAGGCAGCCTGATCAAGCAGTCTCGGCATACATTACAACCCTCCTCTCTTTAACAGCTGAGCTTGTCCACAGATTATTGGGTTGTCATGGCAACAGAAGCGAGCCAGGGAGGACAACAGTCCTCCCCCATCTCCAACTCCTCATCCACCTACACCTTGGTCTTTCTCACCCATTTTCTCTTTTCTGTGCTTTTCTTGTCATAGTTCAAGCTACAACACTGTTCTTGTAATAAAAGAGAAAAAAAACCAGATTGTTCTGGGCTTGGTGGAGTTTTTACTAAACCTCACAGTGCATAATCAACTGAAAACTACAGAAGTGGCTAACCAATTTAGAGCAACCTCTAATATCTGAACCATATTTTATATGGCAAATAACCTATTCCAGAAAAAAATTAACCCCCCTTCCCAAAAAACAGCATAATTTATCTGTAAAGTCCAAATCCTGCTGTCTGATTCTCCGTAGCTCTGTTGACCCCATAAGCATGATAACAGTCCATTTGTTGGCCGAAATCTGTGATTCTAAACTGTAACTGCCTGCAGATGTTCAACTTGAGACCGGCTACTGATTACTGGCCAGCAGCATGCAAGCAGACTTGTAAACAGAAAATAACAAATTTCCCATGTGAGATGACTTCTCACAGTATTGTGGTTTGTTGTTTTTGTGTAAGAGACCGCATGTGTGGTGTTCAAATGCACAATGACCACTGCATCTCATATTCATTTTGATCTTATTTTTCCAGCTTAGCGAGTCTTCCATTGCTTGAGTAGAATCCCTCCTCATTTGTGGATGCTCACATGCACACTTTCACATGCGTATGGATGTATAGTCGTAGCTCAGGGCTGGAAAAACACACTCTTTGAAAAGGAGGTCGGATGGAAGTCCGGAGGTTAGATTTTGGAAGAAGTTGTTCTGGGACTTAATTAGTAAAAGGCCCCACATTTAAAGGGGCTAAATGCCCACGAGCTCTACTCTCAAATCTGGGACAAATAAGGTGCACGTAGATATTAATATAATGCTCACAGACACATAGCAGGAAGACAAAGATGCAAGAATCTTTTGATAAAGTACGTCAAATAAAGAAGCAGTCCCTACAGATGCTGCTACAATATCAAATACACTACATTCACTGGATTTTTTTCTTAGCTTACCCCTTCACAGTGGGTGGCAGTTGCCAGCATAGATTCACAGCATTTATAGTCATTGGTGCGCACGTTCAGTATCTCACAAAGCTTCCTTAACCAGTAGATCATTCAATATGCGACTACCTGCAGAGCTTTTGGGGCAGGAGGAGGTGAAACCAGGAAGAAGCATAATTAGCCGTTGTTGAGAAATTAGTAGTATTTGTTTAACACTAAACAGCAGAGTGGATTAGAGGAGAGTGTGCTGCCTTTTTAGGTCTTGACCTCTAAGACTCCAATCATTTGTTCACGTTAACCACTGTGAATAAAAGCTTCTATCTTTAAAGAAAGAAACAGAATCATCTTGCGAACCTCTCGATGAGGTGATCTGAGTGTTTGGCAGGGAGATTCGTTCTCTAAATTGTTGCATATTTTATTATATTTGGTGTAGGGCAGGGCCATATCATACCATTCACAGTAATACTGCTATAATATAGGCAATGATAAGAAAATTAAATATCGCGATAGAATATGGGTAAAACATGCATTCGCAGTGCCTTTGTTTTCATACGCACATGGTGGAAAAGCATGGCAGCGATGGAGAATGAGAAGGGTGAAAGCAGATAGTTGAATGAAACAGATGAACCAGAATTGGTTTGTAAAAATGTGCAACTTCAGTGGTTGTGGAAGTGGTTTGGCTTTCATCCATCAGATACACACCAAAGCACAATGTTTGACAGAGCATGCTAGCGGGCGGTCGTTATTACCGTGTTTTTGGAAAATACGGCACACTTAAAATCAATCCTTTGATTTTCTGAAAAATCGACAGAGCCCCTTATAATCTGGTACACCTCATGTATGAATTCTGGTTGTGTTTACTGACCTCGAACCGATGTTATGTGGTACACGGCGCTCAAAGATCTGTCAAAAAATGTTTTAGTACGAAGCTATGAAGCCATACCACTTGATTGATTGTTGGAGCATTACAGCTACCCTAGTCAGTAATATGGACTTTGCTTTAACATAATATTACCGTATTGTGTGTGTATAACCTCTTTTTAAGTTATGTGGATATTATACATCGTTATGCTGAGGATATGTCGGCCAATTTCCACTGGAAATATCTTTTAGTTAAACTGTCAGCAAGGAATTTGCATTTGCACTGTTAAGTTTTTTATATAGCTTTAATGCACATAAAAAAACTGCTGCTTGTTCAAGTGAAAATACATTAACCCTTTAAGACCTACCATAGAGCCAAGTCCGCCAGAGCTTATATTATATTTTTACATTTTTTAGTGCCATTTTTGGGAGCATTTGAAGTTGCTATACATCAATACAATCATTATAGCCCAAATTTTAATAATATGTCTGCATTAAGTGCATAGTAATTACATAAATTGCAAAAAAGTGCAATAAACTACAAAAAATTGAAAATCGTTTTGGTTTTTTTTAACATATATTTCTAGTTAGAGAAATTTAAGAGGCTTATCCCTCAAAACTGTAAATACAAAAAAGTTTCCCACCACAGGAAATTCATTTTGAGTGTCTTCATAGTTTATTTTTTTTGAAATACACCAATTTTTATATAATGCAGGAAAAACGAAAATAAATATTATAATGCAAATTTGCAAAAAAAACAGCATATGCATCAAAATAAACTATTTCCAGCAGTGCAATTTGAGTTCTAAGCATCCCAGGAATGATACAGAAAGTCATAAAGTCAAACATAACTTTTAAAAACACCAGTATAGTCTTATAAGGTCCTGAAGGTAAAAAACAAACAAAAAAAAACTACATTTCCGCGAAAATGATGTCATTTCCAGTTCCAGGCAGGTAATGGCGGACATGCGGTAGTTTGCGCTGATGTCTATTCTGAGGTAGGAAGTGTTACGAACAGCTGCTCGTATCAGCAAAGCGTGTTTCTGGAATATTATGTTTTTGTTGCTGCAAGTGGTTAATATGCAATTTCTTTCAAAGCTATATGTGGAAGGAAACCGTGACCGAGGACAAGCTGATGGCATAAGATGTA